TGAGAATATAGTTTTGTGGCATTAAATATATATTCCCATTGGTGTATATCCATTCCCAGTCTGCATCTTTAGAAAATTCCTGTCACATTGAGTTGAAACATTGTACCCTTTGACAATAACTCCATGCTCCTTCTTATCTCCAGCCCCTGAAACCACAGTGCTACGTTTGGACTCTGTTCATTTTTAACTTCGGTGTGTCCATAGATTTAGAGTCTCTTGTACGCAACATATAGTTGGACCTGTTACTTATTAATATATTATTTAATTTATTCTGCCAATCTATGTCTTTAGGCTTCGTAGTGTATTACTTTACTAAGATTGTCATAACAAATTACCACACTGTAGCAGCCCGTATACCCTGTGGCTAGGAGGAGTGAGAGTTATAAGAAATACCTGTATGGTTCAGTAATGGAACACCTTGGTGAAAAGGGCATGGAGAGGGATTTAGCTCTCCTAACAAGCATGAGAGCTCATGAGATGAGAGCCTTGGTGAATCGGCAGTCTCTACACCTGTGGTGTTGAGAAGCACGAGATCAGTCTTATATTAGGCTGGAGGAGAAGGCAGAGGGGAGCATGCGCATTCTGTCACGGACCCGCCTACTCTGACTCTGTCTCCTCTCCTGCCTGCAGAACGCCAGCACGATGTCTCTCTGCTGAAGATCATTAAGCTCTGCTAAAGACTAAGATCTGTCTATTCTAAGACTGCTTTACTCTCTCTAAGACTCTCTCTCTCTCTCCTGCTAAAGTAGCCCTCAGGCACCTAAGAGAAATTGTTCCTGGGGAAGGTAGCTTAGCGGTCCGTGTCCAGGACTTAGGTGAGCCAGGCCAACACCCGGCCCGTCCCGGGCCCTGACAAGCGGTGGCAGCGGTGGGCTGTGACACCACACCACAGACTTGAAGGCTTAAACAACAGGAATTCACCTCCGCATAATTACGGAGCCTCAGTGTCTGAGATAACGTACTGGTAAGCTCGGTTTCTTCTGAGCCTCCCTCTGACCTGATGTTTGGCCTCTTCCTGCTTCTTCGCGTGTTTTCATCTGTGTCTTTGTCCTCGTCCAAATCTCCTCTTCTTATAAGGCCGCGGTTCAGGACCTCTGTTCAACAATGAGAACACATGGTGCCCTTAGGAAGGCTGAACCACCGTTAGGAGGTCATCAGTCAGATAAAATCAGGACCCACCCTCTGACTACACTTCAACTTAATCACTTCTTCAGATAGCCTGTCTCCAATTAAAGTCACATTCTCAGGCTCCGGTGGTCAGGGTCCAGATTTCAACATATAAAGAGCTAACTTTTTTAGGAGGAGGGACATATTTAGCCTGTAACAGAGACTTTAATCCAGTTGTTATTTAAAGTAATTACCTGGAAGAGAATACTTATTTTTACCATTTTATTGTTTTCTTACAGCTTTTTCTGTCCCTCCCTTCCCCCATTACTATTTTTATTTTTTGGTGATTTTCTTGTGGAATGGCGTGTTGCTCTTCTCTTGTTACACCTTTTCTATCTATAGTTTACATGCAGTCACAATAGAGATTGCACATAATATCCTATAGTTACGGCAGTATCTTAAATTGATACCATCTTCAGTCATGTAACAAATCTATTCCTTACAAGTCTGCCTCTTACTTTATAAAATTGATGTCATAAATTACATACATATAGATTTTGGGCTTTAACATCAAATTATAACTATTTTTATTTTGCTTTAAATACTGTGCAAAATAAAATAATTGAGAGCACAAATCACTGTTTTTCATCGTTATTCATGTGTTTATTTTATAGTGATTATGATTTATATTTATAATTTATTATAAGTCACTAAAGTTTTTCATAGTTATTCATGTGCTTACTTTTACTAAAGGATTTTTTTTTCATGTGGATTCAAGTTACTGTCTCTTGTTCTTTTTGTTCGACTTATTGGATTCCCTTTGGCATTCATTTTGTGACATGTAAATTTAATAAACTCTCATAAACTCTCCTGCCTTTTTTGTTGTTATTGTTTTTTTTTCTAGGAATGTTTTAACATCACCCTTACTATTTTTAGGGACAGTTTGCTGGATATAGAAAACTCAACTGGGCTGTGTCATCTCCCTACATTCCGAGTTTCAAGGTTTCTATTGAGAAATATGATACCAATGTATTCCCTGTTTGTGACAAGTAGATTTTCACTCTCTGCTTTCAAGATTCTCTGTTTTTCTTTGGCTGTTAATAGTTTGATCATAATGTGTCTTATTGTGGGCCTCTTTTGGTTTATTATACTTGGAATAATATATTATTCATTGAACTCCTTAGGTTTGTGTATTGATGTCTTTTCTCAAACTTTGAAGATATTTAGCCATTACTTCTTTAAATTCATATTTAAATAGTTTCAAACTTCTTACATAGTAAATTTGCTGTATATGATTCTTCAGAGATTGTTCTTAGAAATTTATTTTGTTCCTTTTAATGATCTATGTTTCTCTGCTTCTTTGTATGCCTTGTTATCTTTGTTAAAAAGAATTGAACTTTTAAAAAAATTAACTACCTCTCCCAGTCTTTCAAAAAATAGAAAAATGTTCACTAACTGGGGAGCCATTGAGCTTTGAGATCAACCGAGGATAAAGTCTTATCAGTCCTTTCTGCGTGTGTCCAGTCTGAGTTTGTCTGGGTACCTTTTAGTTTGTTATCATTTTTTTCTTTATTTGTTCCCCAAATGCCCTGAAATATCTTAATGACTATTCCAATGAACCTCTCCACCTCTCCGCTTCTTCTTGGGGCCTTACATATTGTTCTGTATTCTATTCCTGTAATCCCTAGCCCCCGGGGACCCGTGGTCCTGCTGCGGTTTTCTCCACAGTAGCGCTCACCACTGCCTGGCATCATGTTCCAAACTGTGCCCACACTCCCCATCTGAGCGCCACGCGAGGAAAGACAGAAATAGTCAGTCCCTCAGGCATCCCAGGGAAAAACTACAATGCTGCCGATTAGTTTTTCTCTTCTTCCTCATTCCTGGAAAGGATATTGGCAACTGAGCCACTTTCTCCCAACTGCACAGGGATTGTGTGAGACAAGAGAAAGTGAGGACCCCATGAAGTTTCCTACAACTCTGAATGCAGCATTGTCTTCAGTGGGCATCGGCGTTGTTGCTGTCGACTTTTGACCTGTGTCCAGAGCTCCTGTAGAGCTTTATTTTAGTCTGATGATAGCTGTTTATTTGATGTTTCCACAGAGAAAAGAAAGTCTAGAGCTTCTCTTCTGCCATCTACTGAGGACACTGCCCAACTTGCTAGATTAGTCTGAAATGACATTGAGAAAATTAAATATCTAGACAAGGCTAACATTCCATATGATTTTCCCAGTATACAGAAAAATGATTTTTGGATGTTATAAAATACTTGACTAAAGAGAGAAATACAAATCTGTTAAAAAAAAAAAAATAGCTTAACCCATTTGACATGGGGAAGTACTTACTAAGAATGAAATCACTTAATACATTCCATAGGATTTGTATTCATTAAAGGACTTTGCCCAATTTTATCCTATTTCAGCAACAAAAACTAAATTTTGCTGTAATTACTGTTGTTTTTATACATAATTTTAATCAAATGCTTTAAGAGTTTAATATCTACCTAAACATATTTTTTCTTCTTATGGAATTATTTAAAGATATATGAGAACATGTATATTTGTATGTATAATTTTTAGCTGCAAGTAATATAATCACCTATTCAAAGGAGTATAAACTATGGTAAATCTGAGTCATTCAACCTAATGTATATAATTAAAGTATATTCCTGAAGAGGTCAATTTTTAGCCACAACAGTGATATGGAAAGCCTGGGGTCAGGATCTATCTCTTGTATTTCACGCATGCTATTGTCTCCATCTTTGGATTATACAGCAAGTTGGCACCAATGGTTCTTTGTTTAGAGATTAGGCGCAGAAAGGTTCAGAGTAAAAGAGAGTTGGCCTTTACTAACACACAGTAATCGTTCGCAGAACTCCTACGGACTTTTCCTTGCATCTCATCACCTGCTATTAATCTGTTGAGCGAATTTCTGGAAAGAAACAAGTTATCACATTGGATAGATTAGACAAAGTCCATAGGAAGGAATAGATTTAGTGTGGTAACAACTCTATCCAATATAAAAATGAGTTCTTTAGAAATGATTCTGTAATGCTGTAAACACCAAAAGAAAAAAGGGCTCTTCATGGAATAGATTCAGGAAACCAATCAGCACTTCTGAACAAAGACACCATTAGGGCTTTTAGTTTTAAGAACAATATAAGTAATTTTATTTAAACTATCTCTTGTATCTATCTGAGCAAATAATTACTACCTCTGTTGTTATCCATGGGCATTAAAAAAAGTTTTGTTCTCTATAACAGTAGACATTTTTTCCATTATGCTAATTTTCCTCAGGATGCTATTAATTGTGACCCAACATAAACAGAACAATAATGAACAAATGAGGTTTTTTAAAATTAAATTTTGATCTTTTTAATAGAGAGTTCAAACCAAAAAACTGTTGTCGTCATTTCTCTGGAAAATAATTATTTGATTTTTACTAATAAGTATAAATATTTGTTTTAATGTACCTTAGTTGCCTTACTTCTTAAAGAAATCATATTTTAAGTCCAGGCTCAGTGGCTCATGCCTGTAAACCCAGTACTCTGGGAGGCTGAGACAGGCAGATCGCCTGAGCTCAACAGTTTGAGACCAGCCTGAGCGAGAGCCAGACCCTGTCTCTAAAAATAGCCGAGCATTGGAGTGGGTGCTTGTAGTCCTAGCTACTCAGGAGGCTGAGACAAGAGAATCGCTTGAGCCCAAGAGTCAGAGGTAGCTGTGAGCTATGACGCCATGGCATTCTACCAGGGGTGACAAAGTGAAACTGTCTCGAAATAAATAAATAACATTTTAATTAATGATAACAAAGAACTGAATAAGTCTAGAATAAATTTATTCTCTGGTTATTTCCTGAACAGTCACACAGCATTCTAATCACATTTCTTTCTATTACAGTGAGCCAAGGAGGTGTGGCTTTGGTCTCTGACATGTGTCCAGATCCTGGGATTCCAGAAAACGGCAGAAGAGCAGGTTCTGACTTCAGGTAGGAGATAAAGTAGTAATTGGGAAAGCATTAATTTTTGGACACAGACATAATTGTATTCTGCCATTATTGTTTAACTTGTTTGTCATTTTGATTAAAAGGCACAGTTTCTCAATTATTATGCTGCCTTAGTATTTGTAGAATTCTCAAACATGCTGAAAAATACTCTAGAGTTGACATCATTCACTCTATGAGCCAATAATGAAAATTTAACTCTAAATGCATACTGTCAAAAATTGCCTTCAAGATCTTTTCCTGTCTTTCATTTGTTATCATTTCACATTCCAATGTTTTTAATGTTTGAAAAATAGAGGGGACAAAATATAATCATAACCTCATGATTATTTTATTAAATAATCAGTAGCAATGATGAAGGTTAGTAGCAGCCAATGCAGTTTAGCCAGAACATGTTGTGAATCAGATTACTAGGATTTTGGTGAACCAGAGATGTCTCAGTTGCTATAGTATGAATGTGGCAGTGGTTCTAATCACCCCATCACTCTGGATTTTTACATTTCTTTCAATTAGTTCAATAAACTTAAAAGTTTTCCACCTTACCAGATGGATACTAATATTAGGAGTGGCTGAAAAGTCAAAGACTAAAGAGAAGCAGAAAATGTGTTTTTCCTCCTTAAAATCTCACTATTTTTGAGAAAAAGACACAAAATATAGGTGCAGAGAATTAAAGCCAGAAAGCTAAAAACTGTAGAAAATTATTGTTACTAGTAGAGGGGAAAGAAGGAGTATAATTCAGTGAAACTTCAGCAGTTATGGGTTGCTCTCCAGATAGAGAACCTTGTGACTAGCTGTCAACAATTCCAATGAGTCGGTGTGTGGATGTACCAGCTGATAATACTAGACCCAGTATTTAGTCAAGCAAATAAGCAAACAGGGAAAATTTCTGGTTTTCCATTATCGTATAAAATAGTGCTCATACGAAGGCATTCAGAAATCGCATCTCTTTTGAAAACACAGCAAGTAGAGAAAACTGTAAATCCTTCACAGTGAGTTCCATTCTGTGTATTACCAGGCAGTATGGTCATCTCTGAAATCCTTCCTGGGAATCTAGAAACTTCTTTGGACTGTGTTGTACAGCTCAATTTTAAAACAGTGAATTAAATTTTATTTGACAATACCAAATTCTTCACATTGCAACCCCTGGTACAGAGAGATGAAGAAAATACTCAAGCTTCAAAAGTTAACAGAGAAGTTATAAGAATATTTGGTTCCAGTATCTATTTAGCACAGAAGTGATAAGAAACATTTTACAGTCTCTGGGGTGAATATGCTGATGCTGATTTCACTTTGTTCTTAGCCTTATCTCTGAAGAGGAGGTTTAACTTCAGTATGAGCATAAACCGGGAGGGCTGTGGTGATCTGGCTGGGGTGGAGTTTGGGGTGGAACCAGGCTGCACAGACATATGTCCAATGGAGCATGAAATGTAGAACCTTCTCTCAGAGAAAATTATTCCTCACATCCCTAGTGTTTTGGGGGGGATCTCTTTGTTGTTTTCATGGTGCCAAGTGTGGCAATGACTATAAAATAATACAACATCTGGTGAAATTATTTCCAAGATTAAATTTTCTATTAAACGCAAATGCAAGATTCCATTTTTATCATATGTGCGTGGGGTGTGTGTGTGTACAGCCATATCCATGACTGGGATGGGCTGGTCCCAGCAGCTGATTTACATGGCATAGATTTGTCTCCTGTTACTTACACTAGATTTAATGTCATCTAGCAGGTGATATTGTCATTAACAAATAGTTTTAATTTTTGCTTTCCAATCTGAATTCTTCCATGAAGTCACTGGCTAGAAATTATAGTACGTGACTGAATAGAAATTATGAGATGTCCTTGTCTTATTCCTGAGCGTAGGTGAAACCCATTCCAACATGCATGATAAGAATGAGCTCACAGGTAGATAATTAGATGTAGATATTTCACAAATGCCCTTTAACACTCTGAGGAAGTTTGCTTCTATTTTAAAATTTTTGAGTTTTTTTAATCAGAAATGGATATAGGATTTTTTCAAAACCTATTTTTTTAATACCTATTAGGATGATCTCATGTTTGTTTACTTGTATATAAACATGTACAATCTATTATGTTTAGTTAATATGAATTAATTCAATTTTAATAATCAATTACATTCTAAGACAAAATTAATTTGGCTAAGATATATTATCTCTTTGATAAACTATTGGATTTGACTTGTTAAAATTATTTTTAGATTTTTGCAGGTTTATGTTCATAAGCAACCCTGGACTAGAGTCTTGTAAAGACTTTGGTTTTGCTATCAGAGTAATAATGGTTTCATGAAATTAATAGAAGGGTGTTCTCTACTCTGGAATATACTAAAAGAGTTTGTGTATAATGGGTAATATTACTTTCCAAAAAGTTTTGAATAATTCACCAGTGAAGCCATCTACAACTGAAACTTTTTTATGAGGAACTTTTTTTTTTTTTTTTTTTGCCGTTTTTTGCCAGGGCTGGGTTTGAACCCACCACCTCTGGCATATGGGGCCGGCACCCCACTCCTTTGAGCCACAGGTACCACCTATGAGGAACTTTTTAAACTAGAAATTTAACTTCATTTCTACTTACAGGCTAGTGCAGGTTGTCTATTTGTACTTGAGTGTGCTTTGACAGCATGTACCTTTCAAGGAATTTTAAAATTTCATCTAAGTTAACAAAACCTAATCTAAGTTGTGCAATGCATTAGCATAAATCTATTCATAATATTCCTTTATCCTTTAAATCAGTAGTGATTTCATAGCTCAAAATCTTAATATTCATAATTTTCTTAATTTGCATGATTAATCTGCCTGATAACTTGTCAATGTTAATTGTTTTTTTTTTTTTAAAGTAAAACACATTTAGTTTCACTGAAATGTTATCTATTGTTTTATATGTGTTTGGTTTCATTGATTTTTGCTCCGATAATTTGTTATTTTCTTTTTTCACCTTATTATGGGTTTCTTTTTTTTTCTAGTTTCTCAAGGTTGAAGCCAGGATCCACAATTTAAGTTCTCTCTTCTTCTTTAATATGATCATTTAATGATAAAAATTTTCTACTAAGGATTACTAGACCATATCCCATCAATTTTGATATGCTATGTTTTATTTTCATGCAGGTCAAAATACATTCTATTTACTCTTGTGATTACTTTTTTGTTTCATAATTTATATAACAGTTTCCACATACCTGAGAATGTTTTTAAGGATCTTTGTCTTCAGAGTGTATATTTTGTACAGTTCACATTCCTTTAAAGGTATTGATACTTGCTTCAAGCCCCCAAACATGTTCTTTTTTGGCAAATATTCCACATGCATTTGGAAAGAATACGCATTCTGTTGTTGCTGGGTGGAGTGTTCTGTAAAGGTTGGATGGGGTGGTTTGGTTGATCGTATTGTTTAAGACTTTGAAATCCTTACTGATTAGTATGTGTTAAACACATATTTATGTTTCTGTCATCTTGTTAAATCCTGAGGTTCTGAAGGAAAGGGAAGTGATCTTATTTTTTTTTTTTTATTCTTTTCATTACTGGTCCCAATATGCAGTAGATTCTTTTTCTGTTGAATTGGAATTAATTGAATCTAACAAGCCTGTCCCCAGTGTTGGGTAATCATAGCTGCATTAGTGCTCTGCTAAGCAAATTAAGTTAACCTCTGCTGGTCAGAGAGTAGGTTGACAATTTTTCTTTAGAAAAATACGACCTGTGCTCAAAAAGTAATTTGGTCGGGGGAGGGATACTGGTAGGAGGATGATGGATAGGACTTAAAAACTAATTTACATCACTGATATGCACACGTTGTTATTCATGCCAGTAGCTTCTGTGTTAGCACTTCTTATCTCCCAAGGATCTTATATTTCTTTCATTTTATTCCTCACAAATGCTTTATGAAATTAAGGGGTATAAAATGGAATTAATTGTCACCAAATAGAAAGAGAAACTGAGGTACATAAAGGAAAAAAATCTATAATTGGTAGGAAGTAGAAATCAATTCATAGACCAACTATTCAGATAAACTACTTTTCATTTCCACAATTAGTTATGTTCCTTTCTTACAGCACCTTGCTGACTTTATAGTTATCACAATAGTGCTACAATGGTTTTGTTATTTCTCCACCATAGGTTGATTTTGGTGACATCAGGTCCTCTGCCTCTCATTAATGGAAAATGTACATAATTGCAATTACAGGCAGTATACAAACCAGGGAATCAATTCGGTGTTCTTTTCTTTAAGCTATGCTTTTTATTAAGTTTTGTCATTTAATTATTTTTTACATCCTGAAGGAATGAGGGAACACAAGGGCATCAAGGCCACTGCAGGCTTGACCCTTTGTGGAGTCCAAGGGTGTTAATGCAAGAACCTTGTTTTCTCAATTGATGGAGAGAATAGTGGAGAGGTATCTGGAGGACTCTGCTTATCTGTCTCCTATAATCCACATGCTTTTTGGTTTGTTTGATTCTTTTTCTTAGTTTCCTGTTTTTTTCTAAATTGGTTGTAATGGAAAAGTCAACGTTATTTACAAAGTTAGAGCAGATGCATACCCTGAAACCTTTAGATCCCACATAACATCAGTTCTCCCTTACAGATCTACTTGGTTTCTGTAATTTATTTGTGCTTCATGATTTCTTGTTGTCTTCTGTCCTCTTGACAATGATGAGAGGGATGGTATTATGTATTGAGCCTGGATAACACAGACCCTGCCATGATTCAAGCCTTGACCTCTCCGGGTATCTGCTCGGTGCCTTTCCTGTGCTATGTGAAGGGGACCTCTCCTGCCCACCTGCTCACCCTCTGACCTTCTCTTTTACTTCCCAGTGCTGACCATCTTAGAAAATTATATGCATGTGTCTGTCTGCAATTTTATTTTAATAAACATGGTATGTGTTTATTCACCATCTCTCTTCCCCTGAAAGAGTATAAGTCTCACAAAGAACAGAACTTTGTTTTATTCATGAGCACATCTCTAGTGCCTGGTATGGCA